AAATAACTCTATCTCCCACACTACGCCCTCATACGCACAGCTGATTCACCGATAAGAACTCTACGATCGTACAAGTGACGATTTTCATGCTTTTTCGTCCTGCAATCTCGTTTTTCATTGGGAAGTCGGGCATTGGAGGCGGAGTAGGACTGGTTATGAGGTTATGAAGAGATTTTGTCTTTCAGCAAGATCCTTCGCAATTTTGGTCCGTGCTGCCTCAGGTACCACCCTTTTCACCGCAAAGGTTTACCCTTGCTTGCTCTCATCATATTTCAAAGGAAAAACTCTTTGCACTTTTCTCACTTGACGCAGATCCTTCTCTTTGAGTCCTTTGGTCCGGGGACTATAATACGCCCCCTGCTTGGTACTCCTCAAAGCAGTATTCCAGCAAATGAAACCCCTACTGCAGTGAGCTTTCTCCTAGCACACACTAGCATGTTCTGAGAGATTTATTTTGTCACTGTTACTTTTCATGTTAAGAAACTATTCGAGTTGCTGCCTCACCCTGACTTCTTTTGCCATCTTTGTTAATGTGCATTTTGCAGATGGAGCAATAGGTTTTCTTGTACCCCCGGACAGCGTTCCGACTTATGGGTGTACCGAGCGATGAGGCCGTCGATGAGAAGAATCCGGAATCAGACTGAAATCATATTTCGTGCTTCTTCCACAACTTTACTTTTGGATCAAATGATAAGCAGAAAAGAGGAACTTATGTTCAAATGCTACAGAAGTCCTCCGCAGAGATCGTTGAACCAGTGTTTTCCTTGAAAAAAATGAACTTACCTGCAAGGAGGAGTTGGGTGGTTTTCGGGTGTACGACGTGTCTAAGTTATACACCTGAAAACTTCATTTATCTTAGTTTCACTACCAGGACTTTCCCAAAGAGTAGCTCGAGTGAGTCTTTAACAGTACAAAGTTATTGGCGGTCTACACCAAAAAGTGAAGTAATAGTACCAAACTCACCGATGTGGTGTTAAATGGTATCAGTCTAGGTGGAGGAGAGTATTGATCAGCCCTTCTTGATTCTAAGGACGAATCGAACGAAGACGATGACGACGATGGATCCATCGTGAAGTTTGCGGAACTCTCTGCCGCTCCATAGAACCTTGCGAATGGCGAGTAGATCGACGTGATT